TTGCTCTACATCTCCGGTACAAACACACAAGCCTATTTATAGGCATTACAAAACAAAATTTCAAGGCCAAACCGCCTTTACTTGTGGTTGGTATTTTTTTCAATTGTTTAACCTATAATAATTCAACTAACCAACCACCACATTTAATTAAGTTTCTACACAACTCCACACACCCACGGTTCTAGCTAATTCCTGATTTTTATTTTTATTTTTTTAATTAAAATTTAATTATTTCAACACAAGGATATTCCAACCAATAACCACTTACAAGTTTAATTTCATCAAACAAGATGAGATTGATAAGAAATGTAACCAATTGAAATTTCTTTTAGGTTCGAATTACTACTCTTAGTTCAAATTTAATTCAAACTTATGCATATAGAGCCAAACCATTCACTTTTAAGTTTTTTAAATCACCATGTGTTGTTAGCCAACTTATTAAATATTGGAGTTTATTCATAACTACTAGACTCACTGGAAAGTTTGCCCATAAATAACTGGAACAAAACCTTCACAACTATGTAATTCTTCTAGCTTTTCATTTAAAATAGCAGGCATTACTTATACTCTAATCGTAAATCTAATATATAGTTTGGGGTACGAGATATGGGTTGTCAAGGTAACTCTCTTTGGTAGGAGTTTGACCTAATTAAATGTCATCCTCGAAAATACGAGAGATCGTCCTCTCATTCTGATCATTACATTATTATGTTTTGCTCCTTTCAATGGCAAGGAAACATCTAACTTACTTTGTTATTAATTCAAACATTTGCAATCAAATTAATGAAAATTAATTAAATGATGGTCAAATTTCAGGCAATAACACCTTCTCTTCAACTGGAGCGACCTTGCTGCTAGCAAATCCAAGAATTCCAGAAGTTATTAATTTTGCGCCAAGGTGAAATTCACGACAATCTAATCATCGTATTTGGTTATGCGTTATAAGTTTGAAATTTTAAAAAGATAAATGATATAAAATACCATTATTTCCACCTATCTTACCCTATGAGACTATTCCTATTAGTAATTGAATAATTTTGATTTTTTGCATTTACCAACTGTAAAATAAACTAATTCAACAATTTTTATTGTTGTTTATGACATGACCATCATTATACAGATTCAGGATCCACCTTCGAGTTATAGACAAAACAGTAGAGACTGACTTTGTTGTTATGGATGGAGTGGGAGCTCAATGGAACATCAGCTGAAAGGCTATTCCGAGACAACGATAAAGTTAGAGGACCACCACCTTCTCATCTTTTAGAGGAAATGACCTTGAAGTTTGGAATCAACCTCACAGATTACGACATCGTGAGTACACAATTTTCCGGATAAGAAGGATGAGGAAGAGCATAATACAAACAATCTTTCTGACTTGATCGATGTAAATCGTACTTGTATAAAAATAACGATCAATAATAATACAAAATTGTGATATTCTTTATTGGATATGAATTTTTATACCATGCACAGCTCATTCTTAGTTATATATTTTTTTCTAATTGATATCTTGCAATTTTCGGATGAAGAATGAAGTTTTTAATTAACAGAATTGTTTTGGATGAATAAAATTTAACAAGTGGAGAACACCCTTCTTGAAAATATAGCAACTTTGTTATTTTTAGTCTGGGTACTCAATGTGGAACTTTGCTTCATTTTCACTAACGTGCGATCAATTGTATCAAGCCTCAATTTTATCTCCGATATATATTAATCACTTATGATTCCATAAAATGGCACCATATGTTGTACTTATAAACGTCAATTATCTACATTAATAATGATGATGCATGATAACAAGAATGACACTAGTAATGGTGGAGATAATGGATCTGGTACTAGAGATGAGGCTGTTGTTGAGAAGAAGAAAGACATTGTTCATCGAGAAAGATATAAAGATCGGTGACGGGAAGAAAGAAAAAATCATGTGCATTGTTCATACCTTGGGCGAGATAATATCTATTCTAATGAAGAAAGATGCTTTGTATTTATAAATATTTTATTATTAAATTTTATTGTTTAATGAAATGCAGAGAAAAAGGAAGAGATTATTGAAAAACAAGAAAAAAAAATAAGAGACAATTGATGATGCAGATAAATGTCACTAATGATTACCAAAAAAAGATAAATGTCACTAATGAATATGAAGACATTATGATTAGTGGAGACGATCATGCTGCTCATGAAGAAAACGTGTAGTATTCTTAGATGATGAAGAGTCATTAGAAGAGTCATTTTAAATTGTCTCTAGGGGTCGATTCATTTGCGTGGGGTTTTTCTTTTATTTTTGTAACAAGATTTTATGCTATTAGTCATTAAAATATTGAAAAACAGTATGGTGTTGATACTTTTAAATTGTTCACGAATTTCATAATTGGAATTTTTGTATTCCACCAATGAATTCGATTGTTTAGAGAATTTGATTAATTAAGATTTTCTTGATATATACGCGATTGCCAACTGAATTCGGCCAACTAGCCAGGTCTGTGACTAGTGATAACTAATATAACTTTCTCAAGTTATATAACAATACTAGTAAATACTAGATGCAGAAAGAATAACATTGATTGTGTGCTAAATAATATTATAGGTCTATATATTTTGGTTGTTCTATCTCTATACAACTTCAGTGATAGAAACATTGATCTTCATTTTTAAAAGAAAAACTATGTATGTGATGAACTACAATACTAACGTTAATGAAGGTGACGAACGACTATGGCCTTACCACTTTGGCTCGTGGACCGACATAAATAGCCAAATCGAGGAGCTATAACTCACTCTACGGTGGGCATGCAAGGCTATATGTCACTCACTCCTAACTCCACTATCAGGAGCTGTGTTCTCAGGGAGTACATGAACAAACATGGAGTTCAGGCGACCTTTCACGCCAACACGAGCCGACGCTCATCGGACCACTCCGAAGGGTGATTGCAACGAAGGAGGTGAGGCTTAATGTCTACAGTGGAGACGAATCTGCGCTAGAATCAGGCAGTGCGACGAGGCGGACACTAGTTTAGGTGACGAACGGATCGGGTCCGTATAAGTTTGGCCCATGGACGGATAGCCACAGTCAGAAGGGTCGTCACCCACTCAACGGTTAGAGGGGCTGGGACCTACGTCGGCCGGTACCAACCGGTTCGAGTGCTAGACCTCTTTGCGGAGTTCGTCCAAGCCTGAGGTTGCAAAAGTAAAAAAAAAAGGTGGTGGTAGTAAGTTAGGGTTGAAATGAAAGTTTAATTAGTAAATAAAAATATAAAAAAGGAATGGTTATATTGAAGTACCAAACACCATAAAAATACGTACAATAGAAGTGAGCTTGATAATCATGATGAAAAAGTCATCCGCTTTCCTGAGTTAACTCGTGTATATTTTATACTGAAAAAAATAACAAGTTCATTTAGTGTAATTGATTATGATTATTATATTCTTTTGAAAGGATCCAAATTCAAATTTTGATATTGATATTTATATTATATACACTAAATAATTATTGATAAAGACAAAAATTTCATTCTTACTTTTTTTACTATTCATTAGGAAATATTGGAGGATATACGGTGAAGTGGTCAAAACATGTTTGATTGACAATCTTATACTGTAAGAAATTGGGACCGTGATATGAAAATGAAAACCGTATAACATCAATTCTAGCTAATTCGTTGTGGACCAAGTTCATAAGTAGAATCAAGACTCAAAAGACTGCCCTATATTCACATTGAGGAGTCTGTGTTACATAACGGTCCAATTTCTCCAAGCTGTTCATTCCAAGTTCTACCTATTTTTTCCTTCATTGGTTAGTTTATATGTTAAGCATAAAGAATCAAAGATTTGAAAATGAAGGTATTATTTAAAATCTGGATTTTACAAAACCAATTATGTATAATGGAACTGTCCCATTTGATTTTGGTACAAACCATCGTTTGCTTGTTGGAATTCATGATGGATTTGACATTGTTATATTTGTGATTGTATTAAGAATTTACCTTAGTGCTCTTATTGAGTATTATTTATTTTTACATTATAATTTTTGTTATAAAACAATTTTCATCCAATAGTTTCGTCCCACTTAGGGGTGTAAGTTTGACCCTTAAAACCCACTGACCCGCCCCGACCCGTCCTGACCCTCAGGGTCGGGCTGGGTCAGTTTGTCTATAGGGTCAATTTAGGGTCGGGTCACTTTTTGACCCTATGACCCTTAGCATCATACAAACATGTTGGACCTATTTGTAAAATTTTATAAGTTTAGGTACTAAATTGTAAAAATTAAAAAATTTGGGTACCAAAACGTAATTTTACCATCAAATTTTAGGGACTTATTTGTAAAAAAATAAAATTTAGGTACTAAAATGTAAGAAAAAATAAATTCGGGTACAATTGTAATTTTTAGAAAGTAGTCTATTTATTAGGGTCGACCCACTGACCCGACCCTTCCTGACCCGCCCCGACCCTAAAGGGTCAGACAGGGTCGGGGCGGGTCAGTTATACATCTTGACCCTTCAGGTGCGGGTCAGACAGGGTCAGGACAGGGTCAGAGGCGGGTCGTGCCAATTTTCAGCCCTAGTCCCACTGCCACAATAAGAACAAATGAACATCATTAATCAATAACAACTTCATATTGTACACACAGTTAGACAATTCCTTAAAGTTTTCAATGTTGCAAAGTATGCTTTGGGATTAATCATGTAGTGTTTGCGTACAATGTATAATAATGAATATTGAATGCAAAATTAATATTTGGTCATTAGTAAATGAAAGATGATAAGTTGGTGATTAGTGAAATAAGTAGGGTTAAAATTGTAAAAAGTCATCATGGACTTTGTACCCCAACACAAATTCCACCTCTTGGGGTGGAATTCTAAAGTCCGTGGGGTCCACGGACCCTCCAAGTCCGTGAGACCCACGGATTTATTCTTGCTAAGTCCATCAAGCGAACGACAGATTGTGTACAAAGTCCATGATACTTGGTTTTTACGTACCAAATTCATGATGGATTCCATGAAACAAAGTCTTAATTTACAAATTCATGATGAATTCCATGCTAAGTATTATCACAAGATCTCCAAGCCTATCAAAAGCAGCCGTGGGAACAAAAATTTACAAACTGAACTGCTAGCCATTACTCTATTGCTTTAACCTCAATGTACAATATGTGCAGAGACCCTCACCGATTCTGAAACCATAACTCTTCTCTATGTACATATATGAGGGTACATATGGGGGGAAATTTTAGACCAGAGCTGCTGTACAATGCACCCGAACTTTCTCTACCATTACGACAGAATGATCGAACAAAATACAAACGAAAGGAGGTTAGCAACTCTTCACAATCTGTGTTACCATCATCAGATCTAAGTTAGAAGCAATATATTCACATTTCCCAGGAAAACCCATTTGCTTCAGGAATGATGAGACTTGATCTTCTGCAGGAACTTTAGTATCTCTGTGTATGAAGGATCGTTGCGGCTCATGGGCTTACATGAGTTTATATGGTCTGTTGACTCCAACACCTGTATAAAGAGACATTACAGCAAAATGGGTAAAGCCAGTTTTTCAGTTCGATGAGGATGGAAGGTATTAATGCAGCAGTCTTGCACTCACAACAAGTTCGCCAAATCCAGGGTATGCCGATTCTATAGGTACAATCTCTGCTCGGAAGGCCCAACCGCCGTAGCCTTCGACTATAGGAGTTACTTTGGTCTGGAAAAAAAGGTCCGCGTAGACACAATCAGTGTTATGGAATCTAAGGAAGAACACAGGTGAAGTGAAATTCACCGGGTGTAGAACAATACCTCACAAAAGCTGAGTACGTCAAGCAATCTTTTCCTGTGTCTTTGCCGAAGGAAGTCATTAAGCTGTACCAACCTTGGAGACCCACTTCTTAGCTCCCCTATCTGGTGATGAAACAAAACACGGTAATCAGAATTAGTCAAGGCATGTTAACTAGAAGAGCTTAAGAATCAGTTAAACACCATAGAGTAGAATAATACTTACACTTGGAGCAGGGCGCAGTACATAACCCATTCGCCAAGGCATATCTGCTAGCTTGCTTCCGAAATGGGGACAGCTATAGAAAACCTGAACCAAGGTAGGTACAAACATTTAGAATTTACAATTTTAAACTGCTCTTCCATTCAAGTTCCAACCGAGGAAGAATATTATTCAGCTTACAATTCCAACTGTGTTGTTCACAAGGTTATTGATATTTTCTGCCTTTGCTTTATGCAGTATCTGCTTGACAACAAGGCCTCCCATGCTGCAGACAACAATGAGCATTTTCATTTATGAGGATGAAAACAATTTTGATGCAGAACTTCTAACCAACTATAGTTGAACCGACTATTAAGCCCTAGTTGGTTAACTGAATACAGAAACCAGCCATCTAAACGACAATCATGTCTTAAAGAGTTGTACAGCATCATCACACTAGAAGCAAAGATGAAAAACTCTAACCAGGATACCAACCAAGACAAACATACCGCGCCACAATGCACAAAAATGATTCCCCAGGAAAGGGCAGCAGGGGGGCCTAATTCTAAGATAGAAACATTCATAACAAGAAAGGTGGAATGTACCTGTGAGTCACAAACACAACAGGACGGTTGCCAATGCCTGCAGTAACAAGTTTCTCTAACATCATGGAGCTAACTTCCTGCATTTTACAAGGGTGGTGGCACTATTAGTGCAGTCGTAAGGAAGGAAAAGGTAAGGAACAATGACTTACAGTACAAAAGTCTTAGGTTCTAGTATACAAAGGATGGGCGAAAACATTCGATTAACAAGTTTTGGGAGAGGAAAAAGCATTGTTTCAGATTGTTTAAGGAAAATACATGGGCTACAAGGTTTCAATTCAATAAAAGGAACATTGATAATCTTTTAAGTAGCACAAACCTGTAGAGGCAGAGTAGCACCAGACCATTGAGTAAGATTTGTCTGGAAAACGATAAGTAACCAGAGTAAGCTAGATTTATATACACATCCACATATCCATTCAACATATATAACTACATGGAGTGATCAGAAAACTTCACAACATACCTTGTATCTGAGTGTAAATAGTCTAGCTTTAGGCACATCAGCTGAAAGCCATTCACCAGGCCAAAAGGTTCCAAGTTTTCCTGCTTCCTCGTCAATCTTCTCCACCAAACCAGACTTAGTCGAGGCCTTATCCTCAGAAATTCGCCAGCTCTTATAAGGCCCACCTCGCAGACCATGAACAAAGATAACATCTATTTCTGGAGCCTCTGACTCACTACCATCATAGGATTCATGGTTGTAATCAGCACCATCATCTGCCCTTGAACCATGTCTCACTGAATCTCTCTCAGATGTAGCATCTTTACCCCCCTGAGCTGTCTCATAATCCATCTTTTCACAACGCTTCCAATGGGGAAGATCAGGACGAACCAAAAACATCATATCATCATAGATAGGACACGGATGTTTTCTATGTGTAGCTCCAGTTTCAGGACCTTTAGTATTTTTACTCTCATTACCAGCAGCATGGTAATTACAGAACACATTCAAGAGTGTCGCTCTTGCATAGCTTTGTATTTTTGCATCACCACAACCAGGGATCTTTCCTTCTGCACAGTCTTCAAGCCAATTACACAAAGCTTTATCAGCCATAATAGCCTTTTGGACATTATGAAGGGGTGAAAGGATGGTTAACAACCTTGCTGCATGCCTTCGCATGTGAGCTGTCGGTGGCATTTGAACACTTGATGAACTATTATTACCATTTGCCTTGGACTCCTCATTAGTAGCATTTGAAGCATGTTGTTTTGTCATCTCAAGGGCTCTAGATGCATCATAAGTTTCAATTGCAGCCAACTTCTCATAATCATCAGACAATAGAAATCGTCTCAGCAAGCACAATACCCCAAAATCCACCATTTTTTCCTGGCACAAAGGATCTTCATAACAAATCTCAGCCAATGCTTTGATTCCCTTAAGAGTTGCCTCAGCGGAATCTGCCACGTTAAGCTTAGGCACTGTATCTTTCTTCAAACTTTTCCGTGGTCCAACAAAAGGTTCCAGGGAAAGAAGATCTGACAGTGGAAAAGCATCAATTGACTCTGTGGTTCCTTGCTGAATGGCTGCGCGATTAACAACAGCAACTGCCAACTGATTCGCTGTTTGTGTAGCAACAACAACATTGGACTGATCCACTTGGGTCTGCAAAAGTCAATACACTTGGTAAAAATAAAATTCTATAGAAGCATAAGGATAATGAATAATGAAAAGAACCTTTACTAGCAACAACTCAGAAGTGTCATCTCCTAACCTTCACTTTGCCACTTTTAGGCTGAGAGCCTCTCTTTGTACTTGAAGCATTACTACAACTGAGAGCTTCATTAAGCATAACAGCTAGCCAACCTTGAGAAATTGGAATAGAAGATGGCCCATGTTCTTCGAGAATGCGTGAAAGGAATTTTGTTGCTGAAGCTCGCATAGCATCAGAGGAGGATTTACCAAAAACCCAGGGCAGCATAATACCAGACCACCTTTGACTTTCTTCAAGAGATAAGTGCAGATCACCAGTCGAAAACAACTCCAAAGCCTTGGCCAATGACTCTTGCACCTGATTGTGTTTCTTGGTCTGCTTAACTATATCCCTCATCAGTGGAAGACCCCTATCTGCCACTTGCTTTCTCGCCCTGGGACTTCTCTCAACAGAAAGCAAAAAGGCAGAAAGAGCCACCTGGCACAAGGGTATGTCTTCATTTTTACTAGCATGAGAAATCGTGGTGAGAAGCGAGGAGCTCCAGTCAGAAATAGCACCATTTAATGGGAGATTCCGGTCCTCTAGCAACAATCGAGCCACCAAACTTGCATGCCATTTTACAGATCTCTCAGGGGCCAACAAAGCAGCCATGACAGCTTGACCATCTTGGTCCAGTTCATGAATATGAGATCTATTTACCTCGGACGCCATGGCCCAATTCGCTAATGCCCATGCAGCAAAAGGCACTGCAACATGATCACAATGTAGATCATCCCACAGTCCAGGGACAACCACAGAAGCCACATTTGATTTTGCTTGTAAATTATCATGCTTGTGTAACAAAGCTAGCGCTTTAGGAGTACGGACAGGTGAATCCGCTTGACTAGAATCAGGATGCTCCAATTCCGCAAGTCCATTAGTCCTCGTAAGCCCTAAGACAGTTGTCCCATCCAGAATCCTAATCCCAATACCTTTAATCCCACTTCCACCATCTTTTCCATCCTCGTTATCCCCGTGCTTGTCCAAATGCAAGCCACCTTCTTCAATAACTTCAATTGCTGCAGCAATATCCCTCAACGCTGCATTTGCAGACAATGCTGGCCTGAAAGAGAGTTCTTCTACATCATCGCAGTTGGATGTTACAATGTCCATTATGGCAGCCACAAGCATGCTCCTACCTTTTAAGGAGTCAGAAACTCCCAGTGAACTACGTCTTGAATGCTGCTCTGACAAAGACCCCAATCAATAATCCAAACGGAAAATTGCCATTCAAAAAGGGAATAAAGGAACAAATTCGACAGGAAGTTAAAGGTCAAAAGGGAGCAAACAAAATGATAAGTCACAAAATTATTCCCCCGAAGAACTGACCTTCTTGTTTGGCTGGCAAGAGAAAATAAATCGCAGCAAATAGGGAACAGCATTAGGCCTTCCAAGCACGACGCCGGAAACATCAGGATCGGCAATCAGGTAAGCAAGCGCCCTGGCAGCCTCAGCCTGAGTTCCCGCACCATCGGAACCATTAACCGCCACCGTCTCCAGCAACCAATCGACCACCGCCCCGCCACCAGCCCCGACCAAAGCCGCCCGGCGAGCAGAATTCGCGGCGGCAATGTCGGCCAGAAAAGACGCCACTCTGGACGCGAACCCGACCCTCACCTCGTGGTTGGCAGAGGACAGCACCGACCTCAACGACTGCCATAGAACCGAGGCGGCAACCCCGGTCTGCTTGAACCGATGGAAAATCCTCCTCACGGACTCGTCGGAGCTATGAACAGCGGCCTCAACCAGGTCGCGGAGCGGGCTAGGGTTCCGATTAGGCTTCGATTCCACCCCACCCGAATGCACCAAAGCGTACGAGGCAACGGCCGCGGAGGCAAGCGTTGCGGACAACGCGAGGGCCGATTTACGACCAAACGAAGAAGATTTGGAATCCGAATTTGTTGAGAACGGCCTCGCGAGATCATCCTGCCGCTGGAGAATCGGCGGCGGGGCAACGTAGGTGGGGAATTTCAAGCTATTGGAGACATTGGCCGGAATGTTTGAAGACTGTGGCTGCGGCGGAGAAGAGGAGGTGGAGAAAGAGCGAAGGGAAGGGAAGCGACGGTAGTATCGTCGAGCTCTAAAGCATATTCGGAGCATAATTCTTTTCCAAACCTGCTTCCCTCTTCCCTTCCAATATCACAAATCTTTCCTCTCCTTCTTCCTCCTTTCGGATTTTCACAGAGATTTCGAAATTGGGAAGATTTTATAGATTAAAAAAAACGCAGAGGGAATGGCGGGAGGGAGACGACATTGACGGAACCGTAACCAACATCGACGACTTTTAGGAGGAGAAGGAGAATGGAAGATGCGCACATTCTCTCTTCGCATCGGCTGCGAATTGTCGCGTTTCCAAAGCCCAATGGATATAGTGGTGGGCCCAAACCTCCCTTGACTGAAAGAGGCGGTTGGTTCGGTCCATCTTAGAAAAGCCCAAACCGCGATATTAAAGGATTAATCTCGCGAGATTAAATTAAATAATAAATAAATAGTTATATATCTGGCTCCCTTCCCGTTTCTTCTTCCTTCAACACTCTGCTGTTGATTGGCTTTTGGCTTGCTATCAAAGAAAACTACTCTCTCTGTCTAGCTGCGCCCGCGAGAGGAAATCTAGAACCGACTTTCGGTATGGAGAGGCTTCAGAGGATGTTCGCCGGCGCAGGAGGTGGTTTGGGCCACCCTCCGGTTGATTCTCCGACGCTTGATTCGTCGGAGCAGCTTTATATTTCTTCCCTCGCTCTCCTGAAGATGCTAAAGCACGGTAAACTCTAAAATCCGTACTCCGAGGTGCTCGTTTTGATGTTCTATTACTCGTCAGCTGGATTAGGTTGGTTGCTTGGTGATTGAATCGTATTTAGTTAACTGAGGCACAGGCTAGGGTTTGGATATGTTGAGTGATTGATGTATTTCTGAGGGCAAGTGCTGAGAAATTGAGAGGAATTGCTCCAGCTTTTGTGGGCGTAGCTTAACTTCGAAACTTGCTGAGTTCAATTCGGTATCTAATCTTTGTTAATGGAAATTGTTAGGGCGAGCTGGAGTTCCCATGGAGGTGATGGGACTGATGCTGGGGGAGTTTGTGGATGAATATACGGTTCGAGTTGTTGATGTGTTTGCTATGCCACAGAGTGGTACTGGTGTTAGCGTTGAAGCTGTTGATCCTGTTTTCCAGACGAATATGCTCGATATGCTCAAACAGACTGGAAGGTATCTTTCTAGTGATAACTGATAAGGTTCCTCTAGAACATGAATTTTGATTGTTAACTTCTCTGGATATTTGGGCGTTGGTTCTTGTTGTTGGCTTGCTTAGCTGAAGTTCTTAAAGCTGTTTTGGTGTGTAGTGGACTGTTGGATATGTATGGAGGTCACAGTTCTTATGTTCTGTTTGTTAGTGTGTAGTATATGATCCACGATTGAACCTCTCCCAACAACTCGAGTTATTGGGATCAATTGGTTCTTGACATGGTATCAGAGTTTTCTGTGACCGAGAGGTCGTGTATTCGATTCCCGGTGACCCCTATTTGTTAAGCACATGGTATTCGGATCTGTGCAAGCTTCAAGCCCTTGTGAGTGACTTTCGTTTGAGAGGGCGTGTTAGTGTGTAGTATATGATCCACGATTAAACCTCTCCCAACAACTCGAGTTATTGCGATCAATTGGTTCTTGACACTGTTGATAAAGCTTGTTGTTGAACTGAGCAAGAACTTTTATAGACTCGGTTATAAGTTGATAAATCTTGCACTTCAACTGAACAAGAACCTTTATAGACTCCTGGTTTTTGGGTAGCAATTTGTTATTTAAGTTGTGTGTGTATTGGGCTAGTGCAAGTTTGTGAAGCTCATTCTTACAGGTCCATGTTTCTTGGTTTAAATTACAGTTGTAAGCTCTCCTTTAGAAGAAGTACATCTATATTCATCATTAGTCATATTCAGCAGCACTATAGAATCATGCTGCTGTGTTCGCCTTAAAGGAAGAATCCATAGTTAATGAAGCTCTCTGCATTTCTGATATAGTACAGGCAAAACCCGTTTATTGTATTATTGATGAATGGTCTTTATACGACGTACATCAGCTAACAGCTGCAATTAATCCTAAGCAAAACGTGGGTACAACAGACTGCTAAATATCAGCAACGAAAACTGGAGTGGGGAAGAAACAGTCAATGCGAAATATCAGGGATATTTCATTCCTATCAAATTCTAATGGATGCTGTTTCAAAACTTGTCACTTGTTTTATGATGTGTTGCTGCAGGAATGTTTTCTTTTTTGTTATTCTCATCCTTGATGAGTTTCATTTACTTGGCTTTCCAGGCCAGAGATGGTGGTTGGTTGGTACCACTCGCATCCAGGGTTTGGCTGTTGGCTCTCAGGTGTCGATATTAATACACAACAGGTTTGTCCGAGGTTCCTGCCAAGCTTTTCCTGTCCATGGAAACTTATTGCTAATCCTTCAGTAACACAATTTGAAAGAAGTAATTATTATGATTTCTTCTATGTGCATAGAGCTTTGAAGCTCTAAATCAACGGGCAGTTGCAGTAGTGGTTGATCCCATTCAGAGTGTGAAAGGGAAAGTGGTCATTGATGCTTTCCGTTTGATCAATCCTCAAACCATGATGCTTGGCCAAGAACCTCGGCAGACAACTTCCAATGTTGGGCATCTGAACAAACCATCAATCCAAGTGAGCGATGATTGCGCTTTTGTTTCCCAGTAGTCATGTTGGCATGTCTTCTTTACTAACTTATGACTAACTTAAATTGCAGGCACTGATCCACGGATTGAACAGACACTACTATTCTATTGCCATCAATTACCGTAAGAACGAACTCGAGGAAAAAATGCTTCTCAACTTGCACAAGAAAAAGTGGACAGATGGATTGACGCTGAGGAGGTTCGAGAATCATTCGAACACCAATGGGCAGACTATTAAGGTTTGTCAAAGTTCTCCATCTGTTCCCTAGGTTCTGGTTTCCTTACCAATATGTTCACGCTTTCATTTTTTCGAAAGATGCAATGTTGAGGTAGGAAATATCAACCCAAACCATCCACGTAAAACTCATCCAAGCTCAACCCAACTGACTCGTAACCATCAGATTGGAGGGTAAAATGGCTCGTCTTCAATGGTCTAAACCCACCCCTAAACCGCGTTAACTCCCGAATTCAATACACTAGCCCCTGTAAACGGCGATAGCTGTTTCTAGATGTTATTTCCCCAACTGAATCTCAATTTTTCCATGGCGACCTTATTGTGCGTTTCGGTGGTGAGTGCAGGAGATGGTGAACTTGGCGATCAAGTACAACAAAGCAGTGCAAGAAGAAGACGAGTTGCCGCCTGAGAAGCTGGCGATCGCAAACGTGGGGAGGCAAGACGCTAAGAAGCACCTTGAAGAAGATGTCTCGAATCTCATGTCCGCCAACATTGTTCAGATATTGGGTACCATGCTCGACACTGTCATCTTCTAGATTGCGTTCCCTAAAACATTTGTCCTCCTCTCTTTGTGTACGTAAGACACATATGGGGTTTGAACTGTAACTGTGTAAGAATCGTTGGGGTAATATGTTGTTTTATTCTCTTGGATCTGCCATATGTCTCATTTTATTGTTTTTGCTATGTGGTTTAATATCCTTTGCCAGTGAACTTGTTTAATCAAACCAAAGGTTGTCAAATTGATTTGGTAAGTGGTATAGCCTGTCGGTTTTAGCAAAATATATAGGAAAATAAGAAATTATTAACACAATGAATCTAGGCAATGTATATAATAAGACATTATTAACACAATGAATCTAGGCAATGTATATAACATATTTGAAAACAATCTTGGCAAATCTACATATTAAATAAAATACAATTCTCCAACCAAATTGAAAAGTTTTTACAATTAAATATGAAACAAAAAATTTTATGTGTAAAATATCTCGGGTGCCACTTAAATTTGAGAATTGGGGTAGACATACTTTGAATAGGGTGTCGGGTACAATTAAAATTGCCAAAATGTGCATCCGTCTACTTTTTCATCGAACTCAAACTTTTAATTACCTTTTGATACCAAAACTTTAAAAAATATCCAAAACTATATTTCAACAAGTTTTATCTAATATAATAATTAGAAATCTTCTAAACGTATTACTAATTAATTTTTTCAATAGCATAGATAAATTAGTAAAATAATAAGCGAATATCAAGAAGAAGAATAAATATGCTAGAATATAACAATAAATATTTAAAATAAATATTTGAATTTTAAATATTTGAATATCTATTTAAATCCCCTAATTCAATTAGAAGTACCATTAGAAATAGTTAAAATAGTTTTACCAAAACAAAATAGTTAAAATAGAACATAATCTTTTTTTTTTCGATAATTGGCAGTTCTCATTAAGCTCAATTGGACAAAGCCAGAATCGAAAATACAATGGGGGTAAAACCCACCAAAGAAATAAGCCAACGCCAACCACTAACAGTCAAATAAACCTAAGTATGAACTAATCCAAATAGCGTAGCAAACTCAACTCTACCTATACCATAGTTAATTAGTTATTACAATCAGAACGGAAGGAAGCAATCAACAACTCGGGAGTCAACACTCTACCCCCAAACACCCTGGAGCATCTTTCCCTCCATATAGAAGCGAGCAACCAACACTAGCAAAAACCAATCACTTGACTTTGGATACCAGAAGATGAAACAAGACTAGTTGCAGCCGCCAACCAATCATCCCAACAAAAACTACCTAGCATAGAGAAATCACTCAGCACTGTCTCAACCACTTAATTAGTGTAAGGACAATAAAAAAATAGGTGAGCTCTTGAATCAGTACCACCTGAGCACAACACACATCGTGGATCAATTGTCTTACCCCAGCTGATCAGTTTCTCCCTAGTAATGATCCTATCCTTCATAACGAGCCAGGATAGAAATCAGTTACTGGGAATATTATGTTTCGTCCACAACAACTTCCACCAAGTGACAATCGGATGCTTAGCCCGCAAAGAGGACAAGACCTTCTTGATCTTATATTTCTCCACCCAACATCCTTCCCACGAAACAGCCCCTCTCTCCTCTAGAATCAGTCGAAAATGAAACCAAGAGCGGAGCTTGAGCAGTTTTCGCCATATCCAAGATCCTGACTGAGTTGCTTTCAGATCCCAGTAAGATCTCCCTTTAATCTTATACTTGTGCGCCCAAGCAACCTAGAAGGACCCCCCCCCCCTCCCGGCATTAAGATTAACCACAACAATTTACCTGCAGAGGCAATATTCCAGATCACCAGATCCTTAAGACCTAGGCCACCCTCCTTTTTAGGGATTGTAATGAGATCCCAAGCTACCTTTGCTCTCCCCGAGTCATTACCATGCCCCAGAAAATTTGAGCAGAGTTTTTGGACTCGTTTTATGACACACTTGGGTAAAATAAAGATCCCTATCCAATACTGAAGAATAGGATAGACAGCTGAAGCAATCAGCTCTAGTCTACCAGCATAAGTGAGTTTGCCTGATCTCCATGAGCGGATCTTACTGACTATTTTATCAATCAACAGGTCACAATCATTAGTAGATAGCTTGCCTGCTCTCAGAGGGAGACCTAAGTATCTAACAGGTAATGTACCCTCTTTAAAGCCAGATAGAGATAGAGCTAAGTCACGTGCTTGCCGAGAAATCCCCCCAAAGTATACTGCACATTTGTCAGGGTTACAACGAAGTCCTGACAGAGAGTAAAACCTTTCTATGACCCTTCTAATACAAGTCAGAGCTCAACCAGAGCCTTCAGAAAAGATTAGCAAATCGTCAGCAAAATACAGGTGTGTCAAACCTAATGCTTTGCATTGTGGATGGAATGGTATCTGATTTATCTGAGCTGCTCTATTAATCAAAAGGATAAGAACTTCAATGACCAGAGTGAAAAGGTAGGGTGACAGAGGGTCACCCTGTCTGACTCCTTTACAAGCAGGGAAGAAGCCACACAAACCGCCATTGATACTCACACTGAAATATGCAGATGATAAACAAGTCTTGATCCAATTTATAAAAAGCATAGTGAAATTCATCTCTTCCATAACTTGGAATAGAAACCCCCAGTGTACAGAGTCAAAAGCCTTCATAAGATCGATTTTAACTGCACAACGTGAGCTAATATTCTTATGGTTATATCTGGAGACCATTTCTTGTGCCATCAATATATTCTCAGTGATATTTCTACCTCTTATGAAAGCGAATTCGTGAGCTAATATTCTTATGGTTATATCTGGAGACCATTTCTTGTGCCATCAATATATTCTCAGTGATATTTCTACCTCTTATGAAAGCGAATTGGTTCCTACTAATAATGCTAGGAAGAACAGCCTGTAAGCGATTTGCTATCACTTTTGAGATGACTTTATATACCACATTTATACAAGCTATTGGTCTATATTCAGTCATTCTACAAGCGTTTTGAACCTTAGGCACTAAAGTAAGGGATGCAGAATTCAAACCTTTAGAGAGATAGCCAGTAGCAAAAAAACTCCAAGATACCAGCCACAAGATCCTCTCCTACCACACTCCAGGACTTCTGGTAAAACCCAACCATCAGGGCCAGGTGCTTTATCAGGTTTCATTGAGAATAGAGCTGCTTTAATCTATGAAGTTGAGACTTGAGAACATAAACTTTCCTTCTCTTCCTCGGATAGTTTTTTAGTGATCAAAGAAGTGAGTAAAGCAGAATAAGGGATAATCTCATTATTGACAACTCCATAGAGCTTTTGATAAAATGAGACGGCTTCTTCAGCAATAAGCTCAACATCATCTAGCACTTCACCAGAATCTAGATTCAAGTGATGAATCATTTTCCTTGCCTGTCGCACTTTCATGGAAAGATGGAAAAAATGTGTGTTAGAATCTCCCAAAGAAAGCCACCGTACTCTAGATTTTTGACGAAAATAACTCTCCTAAGCTTTCTTTAGTTTAGTAAGATCAACAGCTAGATTCTGTTCAAGAGCAAAATTTGCCTCAGAAGGACTTGCCAAAGAAGTCAGTTGAGCCTGTTTATAAATGTCTCCAGCCTCTCTTACTTTACCACTGATGTCTGCATAGCATTCCTTATTTAGTTTCTTAAGCTCAGTCTTAGCAGCTAATTGTTTCATCTTCAAAGTGTTTAACCGGGAACCTCTTGCTGGTATGCCCCAAGCTTTCTTCATAAGATCCATATAAGAAGGATGGTCTACCCACATCAAAAAACCGAAAGGGCTTAGGGAAGGATTTAGCCGAAATGAAGGGTTTAACAAGCATTCCACAGTGGTCTGAGATGTCAGGAGGAAGAAAATCCACAATACAAGAAGGAAAAGACGAGTACCAATCAGAGTTAACTAATACTATGTCCAGTTTCCGAGCAATGGGGTTTGCCACCTGCCTGTTGGACCAGGAGAACCAAGGACCTGAGAATCTATGGTCATCCAGTTCCATGTTATGAACCCAATCCCTAAAGTCAAGCATGCTGGAGGTGATTGCAACTGAGTTGGAAGCTTCATTAGGATTCAGAATAGCATTGAAATCGCCTGCAACTAACCAAGGAAAACCTCTGACTATAAAAAGGGGGGGGGGGGAGTAGAGTACATTGAAGCCCTTACTCGTTCCTCATTAGAACCATATATTGCTGTGAAAAAAAAGTCAGACCCCTTATTTGTTCGAATTAACATATGCATAAAGTCAGCACCATCACTAACTTTCACCACTTGCGGCCCTTTCTTCCATAAAAACAAATTCTCCCTAAAGGGGCATGATTATAATTTGGCAAAACCTCATAGACAGTAAATTTAGCTATGATTTCAGCTGACTTGCTAACCTGTACTCGAGTTTCCAATATAGCTCCTAGCTCCACCTTGTATCTACCTAAATAATCAAGCACAGATTTGTGCTTGGAGGGGTCATTAAAACCCCTCGCATTCCATATATGGCAATTCATCTTGAGGGATGGGGTTTATCACCCCTACCCTTACCACCCATAGTTTCCTTCTTTTGACCTTGAATCAATGGTTGCAAAACAATATCCCTCCCCTTCAATGCAGACAAGAAATCAAGCTGAGGCACATCCGGAAGATCCTTCCATATTCTCAGCTTAGGAACCTTGTCAACTGGGGGAGCTGCCTGAGGAGTAACAGGCGGAGACGAACTACTGGCCACATTAACAAGCACAGAAGTGGGAGATTGATGAATGGAGAGAACCCCCTTACCCTTACCCCCAGTCATCTCTGAAGCATCACTACCAGCAGGGCACGAGGCTGGAATATCCACAATATTCAGCTCCTTCTTCTGCCAAACCCTCTTTACCTCTCCAACAAGACTCTCACAATCATGCCCAAACACTTCACAAACCTTGCACCGAGATGGTAAGTGACAGTACTCAAGTTTAATCGTGAAGACCCTACCTCCTCCCACTGCAAACCTAACTTGGTCAATCAACTTTGCAGAAGCCTCTACCTCCACACATATTTTAGCATACCCTAGCTTTAAGCCCTTGTGTGTAGGTTGATCCATACAAAGTGGTTTTCCAATTAAGCTAACCACTCGCCCTAATCCATCCTTCGATAAAAGTTCTAACGAGAAATCAATCAATTTGACCCGAATTGGAAGTGCCTTGTTATCTAGTTCCAGAGCGCGAATCCCCACTTCCCATCGACTGGGAAACAACATATTATCCCTTACATGTCATGGCCCCCCTTCAAAGACCCAATTGCAAGCAGCCTCAGAGGGTAACTGAAAGAGAACCAGACGGTCACACAGCCAAGATACTCGTACCTGTCCATCTCGTCCCCAAAATCGGTTTGCCCAGCTTCGAATTGCCCATAACGGAGGAGGTTTCTCCAGGAACTGCCCCACCAAACTGTTCTTCCATCTTTTCGCTCCTTCATCACATACAACTTGGGGAATCTGAAGAACACCATCCACAAGTATAGGCTCAACATATTCCAGGCGATTATCAATAGCGATACCGAAGAGAGATGACCAAGGGCGACCGTCGACGACGGCACCCATCGCGATCTTCGAAGGATTGGCTCAGAGCAGAAAAGAAGAGAGAGAAAGAAGAACATAATCGATCATCAATACATCAAAATAAAAAAAGGGATAAATGGGACACAATCAGAAAGAATTAAACATATTTTACTAAATGAAAAATTTTAGAACGAAAAGAGATGAAAACTAACCAAGTAATAAACAAAATATAAAAGCTATAATATTCGGTAAAAAATGTAGAAAAGAAAATATGACTATAAAAGCTACAACAATGTTTAGTTACAACATTTATGGAATAATTCAATTATTAGAACACATAATGATAATTGAAAATATTATAATGATACTTGATTCTACAATTTCTATTCAAAAATTGATTTGGTATCAAGTATTCTAACTAAATAATAAAAATGATATTTTTCATAAGTCCAAATGATTTTTTTACAATAAGAAAAGTAGAAGAACAATTATGAAATTTAGAAAACGGAATATTCCAAGAATATTTTGTCAATTTCAGCGGAATGCACTTAACAGTAAACTTAAGTGGTACCGGGTGCACATATAATAGAGTTCAGTGGTACCCCACACACTATTCGAACTTAAGTGGTATGCCTACCACAATTCTCAAACTTAAGTGGCACTTGAGGTATTTTACCCAAAAGTTTATACTAGAATAAAAAAAAAACAGTCGTATAACCACAACTTTCGAAATACACGAAATAACCAAAATCGGGAGGTTGTGTGCCAAATCTAGCCACTTCCTTCTGAAACTATAATGGTGTGTATGATGTCGTTAAATCCACTAAAGGAATGCTAAATCAGATCCATGTCACCTGGCACATAAAATAAAAAATAAAAACAAAACAAATTTTAAAACATAAAATATTAAAAGAAAACCATCGGTCTTCCTCTCCATCTCCCTTCATCGTCTCTGCTACTCTCCCCTCCTTTCTCCGCCGAACCCAGAACGACGATGAAGAGAGGCAACAAATCTAGATTCCCTCTTTTTCCGGCAGCTGTGGTCTGCGGATTCTTCTTATTTCTCCGGCCGATTGATGGGAGAGTAGCAGCGGCTGCCAAATTCTTCCTTCCTCTAACGAATCGACGAGAGAGAGCAATATCGTCATTCTTGCCACCACATAGGGCTTCATCGATTGACTCCTGTTACTCGACGGTGGCCGTCGTCACTTTGCAGGTCACTCTCGCCTTCCTCTTCAACTTCCATCGACGGCTTCCCCAAATCGAAGAAGGGGTTTGCACAGATCTGGTCTTCTGAGTTTCCAAAGTCGTAAAGCAACTCGGTTTGTTGCGTTTGTTGATTTAGGGTATGGATCGGAATTTGAGGTGGAGCAGAGGAGGAATTGAAGTAGGGTTCAGGGCATGGATCACAAAAGGAATTGGGGTTTGGGGCATCTCAACCACTCGATTCCCTCCCACCTACTTGATGTCAATTTTCTTTCTTTTTGTTGGCAATTGGGCAAGGACATGAAGGATACATGATGGCAACAATGGCGATAAAGGATTTGGGGTTTGGATTAGCGGCGCCCGAAGAGCTTCCTAGAGCTGGGAGGAGAAGGCGGTGGTGGATTCAATTCGTCTTGTTGAGACGATTTGGTTGCGGGACGACGAGTCGATTAGGGGTGCGATTAAAGAAAGGAAAAGAAAAATAAATGAAATAATATATATTTTTAAAAGTGATTATGGCGTCTATGTGGCAAGTGATGCTGAGTTCTCGTTGATATGTGTTCCCCCCTCTTTTAATCCACGTCAATTAGTGGGCCAGGAAAATGCCAACTAAACATTCACCGTCAGTCCAGTCATCCCTTTAACTGACGGAGTTAACGGAGTGGACGAAAATGACTATTTCGTGTGTTTCGATAGATGTGGCTATATTTGTCACAAACCTGATAGTTGTGGTTATGGAAGTATTTTGCAAAAACCATAAACATCTAACACATTCATACTTGAATCCAACAATTAACATTAATATTTAACTTTTTAATTCAAGAAACAAATTAAAAAAAAATATTTTTAATGAAAATAACCAAAATTATATCATTTTATTTAAAGATCGGAAATCATGCATCAAATCAAACGGGAGACATTTCAATCAATTTTATAATTCGTATTGGTTGAATCCGATTGTATTGATCGGCACACCGGGCATGTGAAAACCATCATCATTCATCAAACCTTCTTTCCGCATTTGGGTGGGATTTTTAATGTATGATATATGGCATGGTGCAGTTTATAAGTCTTTTGTTTATGTAACACTGCACATCGTCACTGATAACCTGTCCATTGCTAAGACTTTTGCAAAGAAATAAACAAAGCAGTATTTGGCGGTCATTTTCATGTTATACTTTATCTCCGTATGGAATGAACGGCGACCGTCCAAGCCGCCGGGAGTGGCCAGGAATGGAGGACTTTTGAAGTAAACAATTATTAGGTTGGAGATGTGTGTGTCATATAGCTCGTTATCCAACCCCATTCTAGAACACTGGTGACTAAAGAGAGGAGGTGACTTTTTGGATTGATCAATTTTTGATTTGTGTACTACAACTGGGGTAAACTAAAAAGTCATAATGAATAATGCTCATTCGTTGCTAGTGGTTAATACTTAATACCACCATAAACGATCATTTATGTTTGTGGTTAATAACAAATCAATAGTTTACATGATGTTCATTATCTACCAAATGGATCATTTCATCCGCCTTTCTATATTTTTTTTTAAATAGAATTTTATGATAAAGAAGATATTTTGAATATTGGGTTTAGAGTTCACTCGTAATAAAATCAAAAGAGTAGCTTAAAAACATTATTTCACCAGTTTGTTTCCTCAAAATCTTGCAAAGGAGGGGTGAACAAAAGAACCCAATGATGTTAAGGATGATGGTGGCGTCTTTGATGCACCCACTTTTTTTTGTGTGTATTCAATGCACTCACCTTATAATCATCATTCCTAGTATGTGATTCATGTTAAATTCAACTCACTATCAATATAGCGTGGCACTGAGGCTACCAAGTTGACACCCACTAGTCACCAAAACGGAGATTGGAGCAATCGGCAAGCTAGTTGTTATTAGGGAAGTTACATGCCTTTGCTATGAATAGGAGAAACGGAGATGGGAGAGAGGTTCCCAAAGCAAACACTTGACAACATATGTCAACCTTTTACCTTTTCTTTGCAGAGTAGCCATATGATGAGACTTCGAGCTCTCGTTGAAAATTTTACTGGAGTATAACGTAGCTTGTTTCCAAAAAAAAGTTACCAAAAACATCAAATATCATCGTTCGAATTTTGTTTGAAGTGGTGTGAATCGTATTATTAATCGGTATCCAAATACATCAAAGGTGCCATCAATTAATATCAAATACAAGTTTTACCCACCGAAAACACTACCAATTGGTTTGATTGGGTCAAGTTTGTACTTAAATATGTATTTGGACCATGCAAATCAAGTTGTAACTATCGATATAGCAAGTTTGTTTATTCAATAAATTATTTGTGGGAATGGCTAAGTTTTATTCTTTTGCATGAGATTTATTCATAGCAAGAAATCCCATTTTTGGTTAATTGACCCTTAGATTCCATTTGAGCATAGAGTTATCCAATATTAGTCAAAATCCACCTAAGAACCCGTTAAGCAAGGTGACTAGATTGAAGCTCTCAAATAATTGGCTCAGCAGTTGGAGTCTACCCAACAATCAATTTGGGCAAACTTTAATTTATCTTAACCATACATTGCTTAAATTCTCTAATTAAGATCCAAACATGCAAGCTTGTAAAATCTAAATTAATTACTACATACTCTCAATATAAAATAAGTATGTGTATGTTGTTTGTTCGGATGAAGGAATTGAATAATAAAATTGTATTTAAATCCTATTTAGTGAAGGAAATTAACAGACTCCACCATTTGGATAATAAAAAATGACTTTTTTTTATCAATAGAACTTTCGATTCTTCAACATTTTTTTTTCATATGAATTCTCTGTGCAAAGTTAAGATTTATCAATTTCACTATTGGAAATGAAGATTTAATGCCCGAGTTTAGATAATATGCCAAAAAAAAAATCATAAACTCATTCTTCTACTTAAAAAATTATTTATGATATTAATCGAAGCTCAATTAATTGCTTAAATTGGAGTCCACCTATCAATAAATTTGGGCATATCAAAAATTGACTTTTACAATTCGAGTTAATGAGATCGGTCGGTTTGCAATAAGGTACTGGAATTGGTTTGTTTTTTAGGTCGTATCATGGTTCAAGTCCTCACGACTCTCAATATTAATCGTAATCTTAAAGCACATGGCAAGAGCAACATGCACAGAAATGAGTTCTGTATTTTTATTACTTTCTAATAATAAAAATAATAAACGAACAAAATTAAGTTTGTTATAAGAACTTTCTAATAATGTATTTTACATACACATTAGCTCCTGTCAATTTGGAGGGGGTTAATTAATTTTTATATATTTTTTATTTTATTATTGGAAATTAAACAAAATACATAAATTTAAAAAAAATTATTCCCTGCTAGCTGATGTGGCAACTGAGTTGGGCCTTGACTAACGGTCAACTCGGTCGACCGTCAAATTTGACGGTCAAACCCGCCTCCGGGCCAAATAAGGAAGTATGCTACATAGTTCAGACCAGAATAACAAATTTCGATATCACAGGCCAAAGTAGAAAGTTTGTCTATAATTCGAGTCAAACTAAGGTATTAACCCTAATAAAAGAGCTGGAAGGAAAGGAGGAATGGATGTAACAATTAGATACTACACCAAACTTGAAATATACCATTCCAATACCCCTTCCAAACACCAACATCAAGCATCCGAAAACACAAAACAATATAATCCAAAGTTCATTCGACCACTCGTCACCAAATCTTTTGTAACCACCCACATATCGCCTCAAGAGTCGTCATTAAAAAATGCACCCAGGCGCTTGAAAACGATCTTGGCCTCCTCACAATCAGGCTCGATAATATGGAACACGTGATCCTTTCCTTCTGTCTCCAAATACTCGGCTTTCCCTTTCCACCCGGACCCCACCAATTTCTCGTAGTAGAGCCTCCCCCGATCCTTCAAAATATCGTCCCCCGCCACCACCACGATAACCCGCTCGCAACCCAACTTCTGAAGACCCGACCCGGCTTCCTCCTCAACGAACGGGTTGATCAGCGGGTCGTCGCACCCTTTCTCCGACGGACAAACGAAAAGCCACCAGTTATCCACCATCGCCTTCCTGAACCCGTCGTCGACTTCCGCGCCGATCGGGTCCTTCCCCCAGAAATACGGGTGGATCATCGCCACTCCTCGGATTTTCAACGTCGGACCCGGCCCGTTCAACCTCAGTGCGAAATGGTGCGACATGTTCGCCCCGCAGCTGTCCCCTGCCAATACATATAAACAATCGAATTAGATTCGTGGCAAATGGATGGGATTCATTCATTGATAGATTAGTGGATTAATAGATTAAATGGATTGGTGGATTTGTAGATGCGGGTCATTTGATTTGGTGGATTGGTCCATAGATCCACACAACATTGAAAACGTGGGATCAATATATAAAGTTTGAAAAGTTTAAGTATTAAAATGTCATAATAAAAATAGATAAAAAAAAATATAATTTTAATGACATATTTTGTACAAAATTGTAAAATAAATATAAATAATAAAAATTGTAATTTGTCAACGAACTATGAATCCAATTTATCAATCCAATTGAAATTGGATTAAATGATTTTTTTTTATAAGGCTTAAATGAATTTGATTTAAATTAGTTGTGTATTTAAATTGATTGATTGAATTAGTGGATTGTATTATAAATTACCACGAAAAATGAATTCGTGTGTTCAGAAATTAGAAGTTATCTAGTTCAGAAATTAGAAGTCATGTAGTTCTATTTGGTAAAATCACAACCCTTAGGTACTAGTATGTCACACTAAAGCATTTTAGGTGCGGTAGTGACTATTTATTAGCCAAAACTATCGAAATACTAAGAATTAGCCAAATGTTAAATTCCAGGTAGCAATTTTGTTTGTAATATTGACTTGGCATTTGGCAACATGATACTGACTTGAAAAAGACACATGAAAGGCTAACATTCCAAAATTTTAGTATTTTAACTAAAAAATGAGTTACAAAATTATTAGTTACAACGTAAAAATAACTAATATTTTGATGTATTACAAATGATTTGGCTAATTAATAATATTTTCATACGTTTTGAATGATATAAGATAATCTGAAAAAAGTTTGGCTAGTAATTGCGTTTTGGGTACTACCAATTATAGTTTTGTCACATCTAACCTGCCAAGTACACTCTGTCCAAATCCGCGTGATCTCTGAGCCAGGGCTCGCTGCGGCCTCCGGCGCCAGCCATCCACTCAATCGCGGCGAACGCATCGTCGTAGGGAACCGGAATCGGATTCTCCGGCGCGAGGCGGTAATCGATGGAGGCAAGGATGACGTTCGATGCGGCGACGATGCGGTTGAGAGCAGAGTGGTACTCTCTGGAGGCGGTGGAGGCGGCGAAGAATCCGCCGCCGTGGTAGTAGACAACAAGGGGGAGCTTCTTCCTGCTGATTGGTTCGTCGTCGGCTGCAGCGACGGCGGAGTTGGGGAGGTAGAGCCTGGCGGAGACGCCGGTTTCGGGGAAGATGACGACGTCCTTGGAGACGACGTTGGTTTCCGAGTCGAGACCCGGCGGGAGTGACTCGGTGGCGACGAGTCGCTGGATGGTTCCGTCTTTGTAGACTCGGAGGAAAGGGAAGACGTCGCGGGCGACTTCTTTGGCCGGATTGGAATCCTGATCCTCCATTGGATTGGACAGAGCGGAAAGTAGGAGTAAAGACTAGAGAGTATGAGACGGAGAAAGAGAGAGAAAGAGAAAGAGGGATTTTTTTCCCAGGGGGATGGGATTTGAATTGAATAGGGGGATGGATGGGAGAAATGGTCGCCTTTATAAACTGGACTGGACTTCTAGTGCCATTTTGTGTGTCATTATTAGTGTGGGGTCGTCATTAAAACTGTTGGTCGCCCCCATAACTGTACGTGATATTGAGGTTATTGCGGTTTGGTCCAGACCGAATCATATATGTGGTCTACGGTCCATACCGAGAGGTAATTAGAGTATAGTTCACAGACCAGACCACAGACTATACGGTTCAGATCAGACCACGCTTGTGCAGTTTGGTCCGGTACGGTTTGGTCCAGATAGACCTCGGTAAACGAGAAATGAACAATTTAATTAGTCAACCGCACAAAATATTAAACCAATAGCCGATAAAAAAATGTTTTCTCTCCTTAAAACATAAATCCATACATGCACGAATAATTTTGACACTATCAATCTCAATATATAGTAAAGATATAAAGTCAAAACATCTCAATTTGCACCATAACATCATAAACATTTACATAATATCATATGGAGACATGATCGTCTCTACTCTCTTGTGAAATGTGGTTGTGAATGAAGGAGGGGACGAGATTTTCAAAATTAAAATTGAGACTTGGGTATCGTTGTGGGAGTTGGGAGAGTGGTCGAGTCGGTTGCTAACACATATTGAGAAGTCTGTTGGGTCCACGTTTTGGTATGGTAAACCGCGGTCTAGACCAGACCACAGCAAGAAATCAAATCATATCAAACTGACCGTGGACCAGACCAGACCATACTTAACGGTCTACGGCCTGGACCAAATTGTGCGGTCCGGTTTGAACCATGATTTTTCAAACGATCTGGTCTAATTTCCCAGTCCTACTGATTTATGGTTAATGGTTGGAGAAAATTATTTATACACTATCACATTAAAGATATTATCGTTGAAACATTCACCCTTTTTTTATCGATTTTCCTCATATCTGATATGATTCAGTCTGATTATCGATTCGTGTAAACTGAATCGTTGCCCACCCCTATTTCTAATCGACCGACGACGACGTCTAATAGGAAAAGGGGGAATAGGGGTGGACGGGGGGAAACGTGTTGCGCGGTGGATTATGCAGCAGCCATTATAGTTGTGGACTGGCCGGTGGCGGTGCAACGTCCGTTAGATATACAGTTGAGTGCGGACTTAATGTTAGCGTTGAAGAAAGGAAAAGGACTCGAGATTTGAGATGACTAATTAATTCATTTTGCTGATCGTGTTATCAGGAGTTGAATTGTTTTAAACAAAAGGATTGGAATATAATCATAAACTCCTCCTGGAAAGTTCTGTATGTTGGTACCAAATGTAACAAGCACGGTATTAACTATTTTAGCAATGGAGGAGGTATGATCCACGAGGACCAAGCACTATATATATATATATATATATATTATATATATATATAGAATCTGCTTTTTTTCTTCTTCTCCAGCCATTTAAAAAATAAGTATATGAGGTGTTCATCAATGGGGTTGGGGAAACCAATAAGTACGACTAATTTTATAACCGCATAATTAAAGCAAATTAATAAGAACTTGAGTGCCACCCTTTTCTTTGTAATGAATGAGCTTTATAATGTTGTTGCAAAATCAAATTGAACTAGAAAGCACACCAAATAATATTATGGAATCTGATCTCTTTTTTGTTAATCATTTCGTTCACATAATAATTTGTATGGTTGATCCATGCAAGTAAAATAATGTTAGAGAATCTTCTCCTTTCGTACATTTTGTCATTCACACTCAATAAGTTTATTGTATTCCTATACGAATTACCTATACTTCTCTATTTGCTCCATTGTCGATTGCACATGCCCCATTACTTCTCGAGCCACACTGGAAATCAAAGCTTTCACTCCGCTACAAGAAATCGTACCAAGTCATCATAAGTCTTTGGGGGGTATGTGGCTATGTGGGAAGTGGGAGGGAGAGGGAGAGGTCGAGAGGATACATCGACAAAGTTGAGAGTTGGTCAAATAGGCTGAGCTCTCAGTTTTTAACTAAATTGCTCTAGATTTGACCGAATCCGAAATGAAAAGAAATTGAATATGTGCATTTGATAAGGGATCTAGACTCGGTTGAACCGGACCGACCAATTAGGTCAGAGCTAGATTAACACCCATGCATATCTCTCATATTGTGATAGACTTTACATAAATCTCTCATTCCAATCCACTACAAGAGGAGCCAAATTATTTTAATGAAAAATATTCCAATAAAAAATAGTCCAAGCCCAAAAGCAACAATTCATTCATGGTTGATGAAAGAAGCCCAACTGTCGAACAAGCCCGCAGCCGCTTCACAATCAGGATTAAAAAGATGAAAAATATGATCCTCTCCTTTCGTCTCCACCAACTCTACTCTCACTTTACCATTCTGCCCCTCACTTCTCGCCAAACTACGATAGTAGGCCTTCCCTCTGTCGCACAGAATGTCTCTCTCCGCCACGAAAATCGCCACCCGCCGACAGCCCAGCTCCTCCGCACTCGGCGGGGCTCCGCCCACAAACGGATTGATGTACGGGTCGTCGCAGCCTTCGTTCGACGGGCAGACGAACGTCCACCAGTTGTCCACCATCGCTTTCCTCGCTCCGTCTGCCTTCTCCAATCCAATTGGGTCTTTTCCCCAGAAGTAGGGATGGATCATAACTAGGCCGTGAATTTTTACGGCCAGTGAGCTCCGGCACCGACGGAGTGCCAAGTGGTGGATTATGTTAGCGCCGGCACTATCGCCTGCAAGCATATGGGGTACCGGAATGAGAAATCAATGATTCCAGAAACTCAAAAATATATAAATGATGTGGTTCATTAATACAATGTGTGATAGCTCATTTATGTGTAGAAGAATAGATTAATTTTTTTATACGTGACAAGAAATACTGGTTACATAGATTGAGAAAATATCTTATCACGTTCTCTTTGATCTTGTGTTAATTAATTCAAACTTGGAAAGAAAAACACTACAGATCAGGGACAAAATAGTGGGGGAAATGTATATAAGCAATTCATCATGTACATATCACATTCTCCAAATGTTCTAGCGTTTAATTAATTAAACTTGGAAAGAAAAAGACTCCAAACCGAGCGCTTTGCTTTTGCATCCTGACTCACTAACTGGACAATTAGGTCATCGTGACTTCCGGGTCGATGATAGATAATCCGACTTCCGGTCATAGTAACAATTTGAATGTGCAAATTTTTCAATTTGTTAAGTATTTCAAATATATGATAATTTCCCGATAAAATTTACATAAAAATGTATAAATACAATAAAAATGTAGTAAAATTTACATCAAAATACTATCATTTGCCATATTGTAACTATTTTATATTTTTCTTAATTAAAATACTAAAATTTTAAAATATTAACCTCCACGTGTGTCTCCTACTCAACATCATGCCAACTTAGCATTACAATCAAAGAGTTTTGACAGAAAAATTAACAATTAACCAATAATTTTTTTTCTCAAAATATTGACTAATAATTTAAAAAAATTTAACTGACAAATTATATTTGCTCTATAAAAAACCTCAACTTGTCGCACGTTACCTGCAAGGAATACTCTCTCGAAGTCCGCATACTCCCGGAGCCAGGGCTCGTCAACTTTCCCTCCGCCGCCGGCGAGCCACTCCAGTGCGGCCCAGGAATCCTCGTACGCGGCGGGGAGAGGGTTCTCTGGCGCCAGTCTATAATCAACCGAGATAGCAACAACTTCTGCCTCCCGGACCAGGCGGTTGAGGCAGTGGTGGTACATGGGCTCCGCCGGCGACGCCACGATGAAGGCTCCGCCGTGGTAGTACACCACGACGGGGATCTTCCGGCCTTCGGACACGGATTTGGGGCGGTAGATTCGGGCCGATAGGTTAGTTGACGGTGAGATGACGATGTCCTTGGACAGGACGCCGGTTTCCGGGTCGAACCCGGCGGGTACGGAGTCGGTTCCGGCGTACCGCTCGACGGTGCCGTCGGTGTGGACCCGGAGAAAGGGGAACACTTCTCGGGAAATTTGTCGGGCTGGAGACATTGTGGGAGGGGATTTAGGAGAATGAAGGCGAATGAAATGAGCAAGGCCATATAATTAGTGTCTTTTATAAGCAAAATAATAAGTAGGATTAAAGCATTCTTTTTCTCTTCCCTTTACGAAGATTTCTATATGTGCTTCTTGGAATAAAACCTCGCCCACCTATTTGGATTTCAACATTCAATCCCCCAAACGTTATTATTATTATTTTTTTTTTTTTTTGCATTGAAGGGAGGCCGAAGCCGCACAGAAGAGGTTACAGAGAAGAAGAAGGTTGCGTCACAACACGACGCTTAAAAGTAATACCCATACAATCATCAATAAGAATGGGAGTTAACGCCGGCGATGGATCAACAAGTTCATGCATACCCAGTGGATAGACGAGACTGTGCTTCGAGAGCCAGTCCGCGGCTCTATTCCTCTCTCGATACACATATCCAATGCTGACCAACCAATCCTGCGCCAAACTCCTCCGAATCGAGGCCAACAAGGCGGCGTAGGGATGAACGGGATCATGACGACTCTTAATCAAAGCGATAGCCATCTGGGAATCTGACTCAATAAGAACACAAGCACATCCTGCTTTCCTGGCGAGTTGGAGACCATAGTAGACAGCCCAGAGCTCGGCAAGAGTTGCCGAGGCTTCGCCCACTTTAGCAACAAAGCCCAGGACCCACTTACCATGCTCATCACGGATAATGCCCCAGCTCCGGCAAGCCCAGGGTTGCCCACCGACGCCCCATCCACGTTAAGCTTGACCCACCCATTTCGAGGAAAACTCCAGTGAATTTGCGTCTCCACCCTTTCCGGCTTGGATCCCTGGCGACCGAAGTTCACCGTTGGGGCCTGCCAAGCTTTATGCCACAAAAGAGCCCTTTGGTGGATGGAGAAAGCAAGGGAGGGTGCTGACATCGCCTTGTGCAGCCCCTGGAAACAACCTGTACACCTGTTCTTCCAAATAAGCCACACATCAATACTAAAGAAACTGTTCCAATTCATACCAGAGTCCGTCACGTCCTCCTTGAGAATATTTTCCCGGAACCAATCTTCTCGGCTGCGGCTGAAAAAACTCTGCTGCTCCTCCTGCGGAATCCATCTCAGCCAAAAGAAGCGAGCAGGGTAGCAGTCCCGCAACAAGTGCAGAATGGTCTCTTCATAGTTCCCGCATCTATGGCACATGGGGGACTCCGCACACTTACGGGAGTAGCGGAGAACATTAGCCTCAATGCGCCCTAAAGACACCAGCCACACAAACACCCTGACTCTCTCAGCAACCGGGAGCTTCCAAATGGTTTTCCACATATTCTCAATCGGATCATTCCTCGGAGGCAAGGCCAGGCTGTAGGCTGAGGAGGTTGAGAAATGGCCATTCGAGGAAGCGGTCCAAAGGATGGTGTCCTCTTCCGAGGACAGGGGATCCACCAGGTTTGCCGTGATCTTTTGCAGCACCTCGGCAGGCAGCCAATCCTCCAAACGATTGATGTCCCATCTACCGTCCTCATCAATATAATCCGCCACATGCTCGTCCAGCATCTCCTCCATCACCGGTTGAAGAGCCACCTCGGCCAGAGGTACCTACAAAAGCCAGACATCACGCCAGAACTTAGCGCCTTTTCCATTATGAATATTCCACTCACAACCCTTCCGAAGAAGGCTTGAGGCTTTAGTCAAACTATTCCAGGTAAAGGAACTTCCCTTAACAGGTCGAAACACTTCAAGACCTTCTCGATGTTTCCCATACTTTGATCTCATGACTTGAGTCCAAATGCAGTCCTTCTCTTTAAGAATCCTCCACCCTCCTTTGGCAAGCATAGCCAGGTTTGCATGCCGGACAGATCTCAGACTCCCTCCTCCCTGAGCTCTGGGTTTCGCCATTCTATCCCATGCCACTAGATGGATCTTCCCTTTCTCCTCCTCTTTCCCCCATACAAAGTCCCTGTTAATTTTATCAATAGCATTGCAAACATTCACAGGCAAAAGTTCAGTCTGCATAAGATAAACAGGGATGGACAAGGAAACTGATCTGGTAACGGTCAAGCGCGCAGCGAGCGACAGCTTCCTGGCTTTCCAAGGCGCCAGTTTCTTCTTGATCTGCAAAAGGAGCCCCTGATATCTATTTCTGGTAACTCGACCATGAATGGTTTGAATACCCAAGTACTTCCCTAGACTGGTAGTGAGGGGGATACCAACCCTAGTACTTAGGCGCTGGGCTCTAGCATGGTGGATATTAGGGGAGATGTAGATGATAGACTTCGCAAAGTTCACTCGCTGACCGGAGATATCACAGAACTCATCAAGACACTGCTTTACAATCTTCATTTGAGAGATTTTCGATTCTGCAAACAAAACCAAATCATCGGCAAAGAAAAGATGAGTTAGAGCCGGGCCATTCTTTGATAAGCGAATGGGATTCCATAGCTTATCTTGAACTACCTTATCAATTCTGTGAGAAAGACGCTCCATACATAACACAAAAGGTAAGGGGAAAGAGGGTCTCCCTGGCGAACCCCACGGGTGGGGGTTATGGACTCTAGCATTTCCCCGTTCCAGAGAATACGCATTCTGTTCTACTCAACACAGTACATGATACATCTGATCCAAGAGCTCGAAAGGCCAACTTCAATCAAGGTGTCCCTCAGAAAGTCCCACCTAAGCCGATCATAGGCCTTCTCCAGATCGATTTTCACCACCATACCACCCTTACGCCCCTTCCTCTTTCTCAACGAGTGGATAACCTCCTGAACCACCACTATATTATCCATCGTCTGCCGACCTGGGAAAGCTGGATTGCCTAGGTGACACAAGAGTTCTCATAACAGACTTCAAACGGCTCGTCATCGCTTTCGTTATGGCCTTCAGGCTGACATTGTTCAAAGAGATGGGGCGAAGTTGAGTGACTGACTCCGGTTCTTCCACCTTAGGAATAAGCACCAAGTGGACTCCGAAACTGCAGGGGGAAGGGAACCATGTTCAAAAAACGACATCGCCATCTCTGACAAGTCCTTCCCGACTACTTTCCAAGCTTATTGGTAAAAAATGGCTTGGAAGCCATCCGGTCCAGGGGCTTGGAAGGGTTTCATGTCAAAGACCGCCTTGTGGATATCCATAATAGTGAAAGGCCGAAGGAGCTGGAACCATTCTTCCTGCCTGAGCCTGGGGAAAGCACCCTTTGGAAGCAGATCAACATAGGGAGAGTCATCCTGCAAATAAAGCTCGGAGTAAAATCTGGAGATAAGACCCGCCAACTCCTCCTTGTCAGTAACCCAGTTTCCACTCCCATCCTTAAGAGCTGCAATTTTATTCCTGCGTCTGCGGATATTAGTCAGCTGATGGAAATAAGCTGTGTTCCTTTCATCGAACTTCACCCAATTCTCCCGAGACCTTTGAAACCAGACAAGCTGTTCCTGTTCCAAGGTCTTGTCTAGTTCTGCTTCAAGCTTTGAGTGGAGTTTTGCTAAGCTTGGGGAGAAAGACTCTGCTTGCCGCCGCTCAATACCAGCAATCCGAGCCAGCAACCTCTTCTTTCTCTGAAAAATGTTCCCAAAGACAGCCGAGTTCCAACCCTTTAGCTTGTCCGATAAGACCTGCAGAGCATCAGTGAAAGCAACCTGAGAGTTCCAAGAGTTTTCAATAAATGAGAAAAAGTCAGCATGGGTTAACCAGGCTGCCTCAAATCTGAAAAGCTTAGACGTAGGGTGCGAGACTCCCTGATTTGCCCAAGTGGTGAGGATGGGGTGGTGGTCCGAGCTGAGGCGAGCAAGGTGAGTCACTGAAGTCATTGGGAAAACTTCATTCCACTCCAAATTACAGAGACTTCTATCCAGGCGACTGGCCTTGTAGGAGGCAATGGTGTTCCCCCTGGACCAGGTAAACTTAGGGCCAGAAAAGCCCAGGTCAAGGAGCTCCGCCTCGTTAATCCAGTCCCCAAAGCGCTCGCATCTACTATAGGTATCAGAGGAAGCATGACCAGTCTTCTCGTTCGGATCACGGATAGCATTGAAGTCCCCGGTAAGGATCCAAGGACAACAAGTTTTCCTGCTCTAGTCAATCAAATGAGCCCAAAGAGAGTGCTGGAGCTTATGCCGCGGAGAAGCATAAATAGCAGTGAGCTTCCAATTCGGCATGGCAGACATGCTGCAGATCAAAGTGATGTGCTGGTGACCAGCAGATTCCACTTGCATAGAAAGAGCCTGCGAATTCCAGAACACCCAGATTCCACCGCTCCTGCCATTTGCCTCGACCCTAACCACATCCTGAAAGCCCAGCTTATCACAGACAGCATTCGCCACACCACCACTGACCTGCGGCTCAAGCAAAATCACAATATCAGGCTTGTGGAGCTGAAGGGCGAACTTGAGAGCACGAGAGAAAGCCCGACCCCCCGCTCCACCAACATTCCACGAAAAAATTTTAAAATTAGCAGAAGCAGACAAAGACATAACAGACATTAAAACAAAACAGAGAGGGGAGAGGGAGAGGGAGAATTCGCCAGATGCAAAAGGAATCGCAGCTAGGCCGGAGGGCCATTTCCGTCGGTCGGTTTCGGGTCAAAGCCAGCCGCTGGGGGAGCTGGTTCCCGAGGGGCCTCGCCGTCTCTGTTTTCAGAGGTCATCTCCGTCCATTCTTTAATCTATTGTAGAGTTAAAGAGATCCGTCTATCCTGGCCTCTGTTCTTCCGATCCTTGACGGGAGACCAAACCTTAAGAGGTTTCATCGGGCTGTGTCGGACTAGGGTGCTCTTCCTCGGCGTCGATTCCCTCCTCCCCTGTCCTCCTTTCTTCTTTTCCTTCCTCTGTTTTGTTCGCAAGAAAGCAGAGGGGGCAGCTGGGTCGATTTTCCTAGTCGGTGGGGGTCATAAGGCTGGGCCTCAACAATCAAAACATTGGTCCCCTTTTCACCTCTGACTGAATGGGTTACCAACCCAACTGAATTGATCGCGTTCGGCCCATCCTCCTTAGGCCCAGAAGAAGACGCTTCATCAGTTTTGGTGCTGGCTGACACCT